AAAAGGCTGGCCCTTCAGCTTAATTGGACCAGAGCCAGTAAAGAAGGCAGATGTTTCTACCCTGCTGCAGGAATCTGGACCAGACCCCAAGCTATATGGTGTCCTGTCCCTGGATGAGACCAAAAGTGGAGAGGAGCTACTTTGACTGCTGTCCGCCACTTACCCTGAGGAGTGGGAGGACCTGCAGACTATGGAGCCACACCAATGGACTGGGATAGGAAGTAGCCCAGAGGAACCAGACATTAGTCAGGTTGTGCTGTTGCCTTCCAAGTCAGCATGTTTTGGTAGGATCCCCGCTGATCCAGGGGAGGGGTCCCCCACCACTGTTAGGGCCCTGGGCTGGAACCTGGTGGAGTAGGATGGGCCCAGGTCCCCCTACCTTCACTGTTGCCAACCCCAACCCTTGAGTGATGGCCAGAAGGCCTGTGCCTTGTTTGTGGCTTGCCCCCCCCCCAGCAGGCTGTAAGCCCATAGACCGTGTGTCCCTTAGTCAGGAGGCTAGACAAAAGACTGCTTAATTGCTTGTTGCTCTGCCCTGTTCAGAGGGCCAGAGCCACTGACGGTGATTGCTGTCTGCCTTAGCCAGAAGGCTCAGGCTAAAGACTGCTTATTGTGCTGCCCGACTCAGGGTGTCAGAGCCTAGACTATATTTACTCCTTGTCTTAGTCAGAAGGCTTGAGCCCAAAGACTCCTTATTGCTTTGACCTGCCCAATAGGTCTGAGCCCATACTGTGATTACCGTCTGCCCTTGCCAGGAGGCTTGGGCCAGACACTGCTAATTAGCTTCTGTTTATTGCCTGATGCAGCAAATCAGAGTGGCCTCCCTCCAAATAGAGCCCTGCAAATCTGCAGATGTCTACTTTATTTCCACTGATCAAGTGGCAGATTAACGCATGGGCCCATTTGGGGGCTCCCAGGAGCATGAGGACTGCGGCCCTGCCCCCTGCTCCTCCTCTTCCCCCTGGCCAGGCCGGAAGCCGGAGCTGGGCCAGAGCCGCCCAGGGAGCTTGGGTCCCTGTGGGGGGACCCAGCCCCTCCACCTTATCCGAGCCCTCTCCCAGCAGACTCTGGTGCCCCCAGGGCCCGGCCGCCTGGCAGCTTGCTCCGCAGCACCGCTGGAGCGGGGATGTTCCTGAGCACCTGCTTTCTTGCTCTGCTCCAGGCAGTGTTGGGACTGCAGCTCCTTCGGGCTCTTTTCCATGTGGCAGCTGGGATGGGACTTTGCAACTTTTGACTGGAGATTGCGGCAGCTGCAGTGCTGAGTGCAGGGGCCAGAGTGCAGCGACCCAATCCCGGGGCCTCCAATTGCCTCTGCTCTGCCTCCCGCCTGTGCCTGCCCAACATGGTGCACGATTGCGCAGAGTCTGGTATCCCCTCACCCTAGAGGGATACCTTCTCTACAGCCTGGGATCCCCCTGCCCCAGAGGATACATCCTTTACAGACTGGGATCCAGGATCCCCCCATTCAGTTGTTGGGGACACTGGGCATGGCCACTAGGTAACTCGAGGGGATGGAAGACCATGAGTGTCGATGAAGCCCCCTCGCACTAGGCCCAAGTGTCCTTGGCTCCCCTGCCCGGAGGCACTCGCAGAAGTCATGCTGGGGATTTCGCAACAATATGTTGCAAAGTCACACTGCTTGAAACTAAACAAGGCCAAACAGGGCAGATATGGCAGAACAATGATGAACAAAGCCGCTTTATATCTATAGTTTAATAGATGGTACAGAGAACAAGTGAACTAGCTGGTAACTGGATTGGCTGGCTATATAGATACTTAGGGCAGCTTGCTATTGTATAAGTATGCTGAAGAAAGGATGTATAAAAGTCTGTGTAACTTCCTGCTCTGTGTGCAGGATTTGAGATTCTATTCTCCCTGTACCTTCTTTGAAGCTTCAAATAAACTTTTCCGCTTCTCCACCCCGTTGTGATTATTGGGTGATGCACACCGGGCAACGAACCCCTGCTGTTGTTTGCCTCTGGCACTGGGTGCCGGCAACACCATGGGGACACACCCAGAGCCCCCTCCCCCCACTCACCTGGGCCTCCTCTCTGTCACAGTTTAAACTGCCTGCACGAAGCCAAGCATGTCTGCACACCACCCCACGTACATCCTCTCTCCAGAGCCCAGGGTTCTCCCTCCACCATCTGGTGAAACAGACACCTTTCACCAAGATCGTGGAGGTGAGGATCCCCCTGGCTGGGGCTGGCGTGCAGCTCTCACATTGCTCAGAAGGGGACTCCTAAGACTATTACCCTGCTCTGCACAAACCAGTGCTCTGAGTAACAGGACAAAATTAAGAGGGGGAAATGCAAAGCTATCGGGGAAACCTTCCTGGCAGTGTAATTTCTGTCATAGGCTGTGGAACAATCTCCCAAGGGAAGGGCTGGAAATCCCCAGGCTTGGGACTTTTAAAAGGAGACTGGACAAAGCATTTGCTGGGAGAGGAACCAAGATGGGATGATCACAGAGGGTTTTTTTGTCCTCTAATTTCTATAATTCCATCCCAGTATTCTGGGAGTACAAATTCTGGTACTAAAGACCTGGTGCCTGGATCCCATTGCTCTCAGATTGTGAGTTAGCGTCTTGACATGCAGCTCCTACAGGGCCAGTAGTGTAGCTCCTGCTGTTAGTACAGCTGTTTGCAAGTGCCCTTGTGTTTAGCTGAACGCTCTTACACTCAGAGATTGAGTGCATCCCCACTATATTGTGAGCATGCATTCTGCCACTGCTGTCCTGCTGTGTGGATCCCAGTGTGCTTGTACTGTGAATTTTTGACACTCACCCCATGCTATATGTATTTCTTTGTGCTGGTATTGCTTGTGCCCTGGTGTAATGACACTATGCTAGGAATATGAATTCTGAAAATAGTGCCCTGGTGTGGTGGTCACTCTGGGCTGTTACTCTGAATCCTCTCTTTTTGTATGCACTGTTATTGTAACCCTATTGGTCCCAGGACATTAGAGAGGCAAGGTGGGTGAGGTAATATCTTTTACTGGACCAATTTCTGTTGCTGAGAGTCAAGCTTCCAACCTTATGCAGAGCTCTTCTTCAGGTCTGTAAACTCAAAAGCTTGTCTCTCTCACCTACAGAAGCTGGTCCAATAAAAGACATTACATCACCCACCTTGTCTCTGTAATGTAAATTCTGTCATTATGGCCCTGTTGGGTGCATTTTAATATACTGAGAGCATGAATCTTGGCCAGTAGTGTCAATCTTAATGCTAGTAGCCTGCTGTTTTAGATCTTACTCATCTCTGAGCCTGGGAGTTTTAATTTTGGTATGTGTATCCTGATGCCAATCCATGAAGGAAGTGGAGTTTGGAAATAAGGTGAACACAGAGCTGGCCTTACAGGTGGGCACTATGGTCAAGAGGCAAGAAATGAGATGGGCCTGGAGTGCAAGGCCATGGAAAGGAGCTCAGGGGAATGGGGGCAGGGGAGAGAGCAGAGCCCAGGGTGATGAGGGAGGATTCCTCTGCCACTTTGGTCTTGACCCTCCCCACTTTTACAAAAGCTCCAGCACCCTTGGGCTCTCTGCAACAATCTGTCTCCCTGCCTGGTTCTGGCTTCTGGCCTGGCCAAGGGGCAGGGCCTCATGGTGAGGCAGATATGGGGGGCCCAAAAGTTATTTGTGCCCAGGGCCCCAATAAATCTTAATTTATCTCTTCGCTGACCATTTTTGCAGATTGGATGCGGATACAAATTTTGTATCTATGCAGGGCTGTGCCTCTGAGCCTGAAATGATGGGACCAGGACAGGATAAATCAGGTTGTGTAATAAAGGGGGCTGTTATATGTAGAACCCCGGCCTTATTTGTTGCAGAAGTTGGAAGGTGGGTAGTGAACGAGCCAGGAGACTGCAAGAAGAGATAGGACAGTCTCATGGTTAAGGCAGTTGAATGTTGACCTGGATAATTAGATTCTATCCCAACCTCTGCCACAGAGTTCCTGTGTGATACTAGGCAAGTCAATTAAAACAAACTTTTCATAGGTCACTAATTGCATTCCTCATTTTTTGGGTGTCAGCTTGATACCCTGGAATCTGACTTGCAAAAGTACTGAGTACTGACAGCTGCAACTGAAGTCAATGAGAGCTGTGCTTTAAACAAAAAGGGCTGTATAACACTCAATACTCTGAAAAATCAGGTCCTAGGCATCTCAAATTGGGCATGCAAAATTAGTGGAAACTTTTGACTTTATTCTATGCCTCAGCTCCCAGTCCCTCGCCTCAGGTTATTAAGACATATTTATGTTTGTGAAGCATTCAGAGACTAATGATGAGTGCCATGGAAAAGATGATGAGTATATTACTCGGTTTTCAAAGCTGGGTTTCAACAGTATGCAGTAAATAAGGCACGGGGCCAACACACTGAAAAACAAAAATAAAACAAAATATTGAATACTCATTGAATGAGCTATCCTGTGTACTGAATGAGGAGGTGGTCCTGTGGAAAAAATAGCATGTGATTAATGACTATCATAATGCCTATACACAGGGGACTGACTTAAGGTTGCACATGCAATCTTAAATCTGGAATTTTCTAGTATTTCAGTGCTTGACTTTGCAACCTTACTAGTATTCTTTTAACAGTTTTTATCTGTGTGTGTATATATAACTGATATTTTCCTTTTACGAGTATCTATTAAAAGAAAATGTTTTGATACAGAAATAAAGTTAACAATAGTACATAATACTCAATGGGTCTGAGCTACAATTATACTGTGATTACATATTTATTTATATTTGACGAAAATGTGTTAGTAAGTTGAAGGGAGCTACAGAAACCCAAAGTTAGATAAAGGTGGGCATGATATCCAGACTTATTTATTTTCTTGCTTTTTAGTACCTGGGGTGAAATCCTGGACCCAAAGAAATCTGTGGCAAAACTTCTGTTGACTTCAGTGGAACCAGGATTTCAACCTTGTTTTTTTAAATGTAATAGGTAACTTACGTTGCCGCTTAGCAACCAGGTTTTTGAAACAATAACTCAAACTGAGCTCATATTAAATGACAAGTCTTGTAAGTTTTATTTTTTTCTCTTATATTTAATTGCTTTTGAAATATTAACACAAGTTACCACATGGAAAATAATTTCAGTTTTTCCAAATATGTTATACATCAAGGCATTATCTAAGTACAGTAAAAGCTGTGTTATCTGGCATTTTACCAACCGGAAAGCTCTAGAAACAAGCATTTCTGATATCCATTAGAAGTCCAGTTGGCCTGAGGCCAGCAGGCTCCCTATCTTGCTCTGTGTGGCTCCCTGGAAGCAGCAACATATCCCTGCTGGTCCTAGGTGGAGGAATGGCCACTGGAGCTCTGTGCACTGCCCCCGCCCTGCCTGCTGGCTCTGCAGCTCCCATTGGCTGGGAACCGCTACCAATGGGAGCTGCAGGGGCAGCGCCTGCAGGCAGAGGCAGCACAGAGAGTCACCTGACCACGCTTCCACCTAGGAGCAGCAGGGGACAGGTCACTGCTTATGGGGAGCCACCTGAGGTGAGTGCTGCTGGGATCAGGCACCCTGAAACTCCTCCTGCCCCCCAACCCCCTCCTGCACCCAAACTCCCTCCCAGAGCCTGCATTCCTGCACCCCAGTCCTGAGCCCCCTCCTGTACCCAAACTCCATCGTTCCATTAGTAAGTATAACTCTTAGTTAACCAGAATTTTTGACTAACCGGCACCTCCCATTCCCCCAACAAGCTGGATAACAAAGCTTTTACTGTACATGCAGCAGGTATAATCCTGTCATACATCATACACCATGATATCATTTCGGTGTAATAATTATATAAGTTCTTGTAGAAAGAGCCTTAGAATTCCAAAGATTGCATTGGAGGAAAAGTATCACATAATACTTCAGAGATTTTGACATCATTAAATCTTAGGGGGAAAATCAGTAAATATATATACAGCTCTCTAATAACTGACTAGAGGTAGAGTCTAAACTCAGTACTCAGGTAAAAACAAAACTTCTCTACCATACAGAAAACTTAATACATTAAAACACCGAAAGTTTAATTTGTAAATTCTACCAAACATGCATCCACAGCATACTTCTTCCCCCTAGCCAAAGTCAATTGAAGTCAAGGGGAGTTTAAAGCAGTAAGACCCTTTGTTTAATGTTTACAGATAACCTTTTTGTCAGTGTTGGATTAAATGTGGGGGGAGGGGAGAAAATAAATTAAAAGCATCTTCCAGTGACATAAGCCTCATGAAGAATTAACTAGGATAAGAACTTATTCTAGTTGGTGCACTGACAAGCTGAACAATGCAGACAAAAATAATAATTAAAACATAGCTTCATGCTGAGATGAAACTTTCAAGAGTCTCAACTGTGTTGAGGTCATGATTTTTCCAGTTTTGTGTTTGCGAGCATAATTATGTCCCAGAGGCAGCAGGAGCTAGTGCTTGTCATTCCCCATTTCTCCCCCTCCGAAAGGAAATTAATTTCTTTACACAGAAATCCAAAAGTTGATGCCAGAGCAATAATAATAATGTAAACAAGCCTTTTATTCTTTTAATCTGTAATGCATAATTTAATGGCAGAGTAATATAAATAATGAAATTCCACATATACTTTAGACAATTAAGGGTAAACTGAAAAGTAACATTTAATGTAGTATTGATTGACCGTATCAACAAATGATGGCAGACGTCCGTATGGATGATAGCATTTAGAAAAATGCTATCAAATATATCTGTACAGAAGTAGTAGGGGCGGAATGGAGTAGACTTGATGGCTCAGAAAACTGGTAATGGAATATGGAGCCTTTCACCCCTAGATCACCGATTCAAATTGGCCCAGGTCAACAGGGACTGAAAGTCATTACCATCTGATGGCTCTTCAGTGGCTTCTGTGAAATGAGTTGGTCCCTGTACAACTCCCAACAGACAGGTGTTCATGTCACAAAACCATCATCTATCACGACTGACACCCTGTTGGGACTCTGAGCCGAGGACAGGAAATGAAAGGGCATGGAGTCAGAATTACCTTTATCCTCCAGATCAGGAGTGAGAAACATTGGTGGATTGGGGTGGGGTAGAGAAACTTGTTCTGTAATTGTCTAGAGTGTAGATGTTCCATTCATGTAGGATTTCAGTTTCTAGGCCTATGAATATAGAATTTTTCATCATCACTAAAAAATTCCTCCACTGCCAACCCAGTTTTAGAAATAAAAGTAAAAAAGCACAAGGATTTAAATAGAGATGGTAATTATACTGTTAGGGAGTTAGGATAACATGTATTTTTAATTAAACAGTATCAACCTACAGGTACTTTATCTTATTCCTAATCAGGACTGTAGATGTCTGTTTTAAAACAGATTTGACCTATGACAATTTACTGAGATGAAGTACAAATTAGGGATTTCTTCAGTAACAAATCTGCAAATTTTAAAGCTATTTCTGGTACATCCACATACTTAATGGGTATGGCATCAAACTGATGTATAGTGTGAAACTCAAATGACAATACTTCTTGCCCTTTTATAGACTAATAAATTTGTTAGTCTCTAAGGTGCCACAAGTACTCCTTTTCTTTTTAGTATTGATGTGGTATCAGTGTGGGATACTTTTTCAGAAATGGTATCTGTGAAGTGTCAAGAGACAGAATTTGGACTTCAGTTGCCCCTGGACACACACACTCCCACCAGCCTGCTTGGCGTTCTACAAAATACAGGAAACTACCCAGTGCTACTCTTCTCATCCGAAAATCTTAGGCACCTAAAATAGTTAAAAGTTTAGAAGTGTAGTTTGTTTCACAGGAGAACAAACCTGGACAATAGAAACAGACAGTTTCCTTAGAAGGACATGGGCCTGTATAAGGCAAGAGAAGTTGAAGATCGTGAAAAAATTGTCAATGGGTAATGTAAGTCCCTTCCAATGAAGACATGACACAGATGTCTTTTGGCCTTGAGATGAAAACCTTGTCTGTCTCTCTCAGACCTGGAAGTGAAAAAATTATCTAAGTTAAAAACAAATCTTTATTTTGAAGCTGCTGGGAACACACAAAATTTGTCTACATTTGGAAAAAATGATCCACTGGTGAAAATGGGCATCACCAATACGCTGAACACAATTTAGCTGCATGTTCAGACACGGACAAACTGTATTCAGCACTATTTCAGATCACTCAGAACCATGTAACAAGGTGCCTGGGTTCAGATGCCCATATGTGCTTATTTTCTACTGATTTTGTAAGCACTGAAACAATCAAGTAACCATACAGTATATGTGCATATGATCCCATGTACTGTACATACATACTGTATTTGGATGTGCAATTGCACAAACATTCTCTGGGTTTAACTGTATCTCAAATATTCAAATATTTTCAGTTTAAATGTGCACTCGTGGCTCCTTATCAATTAAGGATATTAAATGAAAAATAAGTTAATGAAATATTGTAGTGGAGATTTTAAATATACAGAAGTTATGAAATTTATTCATAGTACCAGCAGCAGATTCATAGATTCTAAGGTCAGAAGGGAACCACTGTGATCATCTACTCTGACCTCCTGTACAGTACATAGACCTTTCCCAGAATAAAAGATGTAATTAAGCTACATTGAACATGGACAGTAAAGTGTAAAAGAAACTTAACAGCATATTAAGTGAGCTACCTATGTTCAAAGAAGCCAGTTATTGTTGGCATGGGAATTGTAAACAGAAAAGGTATATAGTGGTCTCCACAGAGGTAAATAAATCAGCATCAAATCAAGATTGAATGTCCTTCTAAAAAAGGATACATTCTAATTCAACCACAAGTTACTGAACTTGCTGCAGGATTTACTAGGGGAAATTCTATGGTCTGTGCAGTACAGGCGGGCAGATTAGATAATCACAATGGTTCCTTCTGATCTTAGAATTTCTGAGTTTTAAAACCTTGATTTTCTGTGTGCAGGAGACTGAAGTAGAGGTTCATGTACAGGAGTGGTAGCACTGGATTATGAATTGACTGAACTGTGTATTTGGTTTTGTAATTTTAAATAACTGGTGGGGTGCTCAGAGCCTGAGTGTGGGTGCTCTTTATTGTTTTATGTCAAAACAAAGCAAATACATTTGAAAAGACCTAGCACTATTGGCACTATGCCAATAATAAAAACAAAACAAAATAGTAACAGGCGTAACTGTGACAGATTCCTAATTTCTGTTGCCAGACTATCAACTAACATGCCAGTGAAATAGGCTTTTTGATCAGGTTGACCTGTTTGGGGAGAAATGGAGGAGGTTGTATTTATAGTTCTAGCCAGTTTGTATAATAAACACAACAGATACATACCTGCCACCACCAGAAAGCTATAAATAAGGATGTAAGCAAAGAAAAATATGGATGACTTTGAACTACATTGGACACCAAGAACTGTGTAAAAAATAGGGATGATCCCTCGTAAACAGGCAGAGTTGGTAGGTAGGCGAGCACTGCTTAGACATCTAGGTGCAAGGTACCTTACGGCTAGAATAAAGTACAAAGCACTGACCCATCTAATTCACGAAGAGGCCACGTGTTCCACAGGGCTCGGAACAGGCACCTGCCAAGCGTGCGAGCGCAGGTGCTGCTCCCTTGGTGGGGAGCCCGCTCCTGCCCTGGAGGCGCGTGTCCAACGGCAGGGCCCCGAGAGGCCGGACAGGGGGGCTGGGTTCCCCAACGGGACCCAGAAGCCCGCAGCTCCCGCCTAGCTCTGCGGCTGGGCCGCGGACGCTGGAGCCCGCCACCGCCAGGCTGCCCTCGCAGGCCGGGGTGGGGCGGCTGGGCTCGCCCGCGGCGGCAGGGGGAGGCTGTTCCAGGGGCTGGGTGGGGGCGGCGCGGGAGGCCCTGGCCCGAGAAGTCCGCCCAGCGACGGCAGGAGGAGGCGGAGCTCGCCCGCTCAGCCCAGGAGGTACCGAGCCGCTGCTGACGTTGTTAGGGCGCTCCGGCCCAGCCGCAGCCCTTGTCACGGCGCTTCCCCCAGGGCTGTCGCCTCACCCGGCGGTCTCGGACCAGCGAGTGCGGCCGCCGTTAGCGGATCATCGCACGGGCGTGGCCCGCGTCCTCGGTGGCCCGCCCTCTTCCACCTTTGCCTTCTCTTCATTGGTCGAGCAGAACTCTCTTTTCCGCGATTGGTCCAGGTGCGCTGCCAATCTAGGCGAAGTGACGTTCACCGGCTCTCTGCTCGGGGCGGCCATTTTGGTTGCTGGCGGGAGAGGCCCTGGGCGAAATGGTGCCAGTTAGGGGGTGGTGCGTGGAGTGCCCGGAATGGATCGGGGCTAGGCTGCCTCGGGGGTGCAGCGAGCCCACAGCCTGCACTTGTGTCACCCTAGCCCCGCGGCCTGTCCCTGTACACTCGCACCCCGCCTTCACCGTAACTCCCTCCGGCCGGGGCAGGCAGGGCGGCTCAGCGCTGGAGGCAGCAGGTGTGGGCAGTGCCCTGTGCGGAGCCGTCCCTTCTGGTCCCGGCTCCTCCCCGCCGGGCTCTGGAGCTGGCGACGGGGGCCTTTGAGGGCTGCAGCAGTGGCTGATGCTTACAACGAATTAGCTGCCTCTCTGCCAACGAGCCCCTTTGAGGAGTCACTTCACTTCCCCAAAGCGTGCTAGGCCCTACGGGGCAGGAGGGGTTTGTTCCCAAAAGACGCTCCTTGGCAGACGCTGGGGTTGGCATGATTGCGTTTGATCTCGAATCAGCCCAATTTACCCTCCTAGGAGGACGTGGTTTGTGCCTACGTGGAGCTCTCAGAGATATAACACCGCCCCAGGTCAGTATTTTAAACATGAACACAAGGAAGATGAAGAACAAGGCTCGCTTTGGCAACTGATCATTCTGCTGGGAGTTATTCTGCATTTCTGGGAAATGGCCATTGTTCCCCTCTATCCTTGTTCCTTACCAAATAGTGAATTCTCTTAGCATTTTGATTTATTAATGTGAGCCTGCTCAGTCGAAACAAGGCCACTCAAAATTGGACTTTAAATAGTCTTAAATGACTATTTCGTTGCTGAAAACAGAAAACTTCAAAAATTTAAAGTGCTTTAAGGATACAGTGCTTTGAGTCAGATTGTTTTTATTTAAATGGAGAATACTACTGAACCTGGTAATATATCTCCCAGTGAAAGTAAGTTTGTTTATTTTCATGGAGTTCAATATTAAATACTACTTACTATCCATGAACTGCTTGTGATAGGAGCAGCCCAGGTGTCAAATCATGAATTCATTTATCACGTTTAATTTATTGTTTTTTAGCTGCTCCACAGCTCTGGTTGCAAAACTGATGGTGGCAAATTGTAATTTGAAGCCAGATATATATCTTTATACAAAATCCTGAGTGAGTTTAGTGCTTATTGAAAATAAGGGACTAATAACATTAACTTGAGCTAGGATTGGGGCATGCATCATGCAAATTCCCAAATACTCCTCTGACAAATTATTTATATTCTGAACTGAAGCTCTTCGTCTTTCATTCTGGAGCTTCTCAAGCACAACATGCCAGATCGTTAGCTTTGTGATATGGAGGAGAAAGAGTGAATCAAAGTAATTGTTGATCCAAAGTAATTGTTGACACCCCTCACCCCCCAAGTTTACACTGAATTGTGGTTAAAATCTTCCCTCTTCCCCAGAAAAGGAATTAGGAAGTTTTTTGGTTGTTTGTCTGGGATATCTTTTCATATTAACCACTCAAAAATATTTTACTATGCAACAGAAGTTCCTAATTACAGAGAATACGCTTTTTATAATAGGATATCTTGCAGTGCCTTTATGAACTTTCCTTGAAGTTAGGATGGTGAATGTTTCAAAGAGTATTTCTAGGGAAAGTCTGATTATAATGGCGAGTACCATAGTGGACAGCCCTGGTTCCCTATTCTATCACAGATAAAATATCTGAATGAGTCATATAAAGAAAGTGGTGTGCAAATAGTGTAGGTCTCACCCACGCTGGCTATCTCTACTTCCCTTGCCCCCCAAAATCCTCCAGTAACCAACACAACAACAAAAACCAACATACATACACCATAGTATATATGTACTTCTGAGAAACAAGATTGTGTTTTCTGCTGTGAAACTACAGAAATGTATATGTTCTGGCACAATCCCTGTCGAAAATGTTTTGGGTATTCTCTTGTAAAGAATGTTTCATTTGCTAACTGGTTCCCTATTTTTACTAAGTAAAAAAAAATGAAGAGAATTATATGAAGGATACACGACCGATCATTTTTTAAAATAAAAAGTGCTTTTTAGTGCTATGGATACCTTCATTTCAAATGAAGTCTGCAATGATTAAATATTAAAATGATCAATGCTTTAAATTAATATAAAAAACTTTTCAGGAGATTATTACAAAGATTAACTTTTTAAATGTTTTAATAACTCCACACTTTATCAATCACAGACACTGAAACTATTTTCACATCACCATACTGATGATCTCATATATCATTGCAGTATTGTGCACTAACTGTATAAATAGCATGGAAATGTTGGTAGAGAAGATGAAGAAACACAGTTCATGTTATTGCTCTTTAATATGCAGTTTTGGTATTGAAATATTCTTTGACATGTGAATGAGTGAGTAGTTATTTTTCTAATACTGAAGATGAGACAGAAACCCAGTCTAAGGAATGAAATTAAATGTCATTTGCCATTCATAAAGGAACTTTGTTTCATGTAATGACAAACCTAGGTGGTCTGTGGCAAAGGCTGAAAGAAGAAGAAAAAGCCCTAGCATGTGTTTTCTTAGGAAGGACACACATGAATGCAGCCTTAGTATCCTAAAATTGTCTGCAACTGCCTATGATTAGAGATACATTTTTACTCTTTCAGTTTGAATTATGTTTGCAGGTCATGAGAAAATGTCATGGCACCCCAGGTGCTTTTGTTACACTAGCTGCATGTAGCCCTACCACTATAATTCAGAGGATTGACTAAACATTTACCCCAGGCGTTCTTAAAATGGAGGATGCTAATTTCTTTGTTTTACATTTCTTCTGGATTTCCTTAAGCAATAGGTTTAGCAATCAACTTTAGTATTATTTTGGTTTCAGAGGAACAGCCGTGTTAGTCTGTATTCGCAAAAAGAAAAGGAGTACTTTGCTTGTTTTTACCTAGCTAACCATCTATTCCAGTTGTACTATGCAACTTTATTTTGCATAGCTTATATATCCCAGGACACTTTGCAGAGCTAAATGCAGAACAGTATGTGAATAAATTATTATTTATTTGAGTGTCAAAACTGTGCTTGGTGCTATACAAAACAAAGAAGACGTGATCCCTGCTGTATTGTGCTTGCAATCTCAAACATAGAACAGTGATAGTATTATTAATTCATCACCATGCAGTGTCTAAGTCCAACAAAAGAGGTAAAGAGGAATAAGGACGCATAGTCGGAAAAGAAGTGATAACATTAAATTAGAAAATAGATGAAGAGCTGGCAAATTGAATAGATACAGTAAGATTGTTCCAGATGGCAGAAGCTACATCAGAGAAAGTTCTTGCACCAGAAGTGAAAAGTTTGAGAGAAGGGACAGATTAAAGGTGGATGCTAGATAAATATAGAGAATGGCAGTGGGAAGAGGAGGTCCATAAGGTAGACCAGAAAGGACAATATCTTAAACAAGGAAGACATTGTTATTCATATAGGCCAATTTGTTATCTGCTGTAGGGAGTGCTGTGTGTGGGTTAGTGTCTTCTAACTAATGGGCAAAATCCTGGTGTAATTCCATTCGAATCTATTTAAAAAAAACCTTTTACATTCTGAATTATACAAACATTGCTCTGTTAGTTCAATTTTTAATATAGTGGGAATACTGATCAGATGGAAAGTGTAAAATGTTTCCAAGTTTCAATCATTATTTTCTCTCGGGTTGTGCTATTTGGTATAAATAAGGAAAAAAAGATAACTGGGCCCATGATAATTGCTTCTCATAGTTAACTTCCTGTATTGATTAGTCCCATTGACTTCACTCTGTCTCCACTACAATTTCAAGTGATTTTGTTATTCTTCACTTCCTGTTTTAAATGCTGTTTGTTTTTAAACGGCCGCTGCATTTCTGTGTTCAGTATACCACATATCTACAGCTCTGTTCAAATCTCACCTTAAAGTGCAGCTCTACTCTGAGAGGTGAGTATGTAACAATGGTACCTACTTAGAAAACAGCATTGTTTCTTTCTTGCGATATGTATGACAGAAATTGGAAATCGTATGCCCAACAGGCATATTTAATTTTCTGTCTTTTGAAATCTCAACTTTAACATTAAATTCATTATAGGTTGAATTGCTACTGCCACCTGTCATTAAGGTTGCCTGACTCTTTCCATTGGCAAAACCCTGTTTTCAGTTGCTTATAACTTTGCTAAACTTTACCTGTTTGGACTGAAATTTTCCATGTGTGATGTCTACTTCAGGCTGATTATTATTTTTTTTTTTTTGTAAGACTTCAACATAAGGTTGAGCCATTTCTGAGAACAAAATTAGAGGAAAATATGCTGCTTTGCCCATGTTAAAAAAAATCTTATATCTGTTGTGATGAGAATCTCTAATGCCTCCATGCTTTGAACCCCACTGGCAAAGTGTGTCTCTCATTCCCCCTAGTGGCTGGTCTACATAGAGACTGACAATTTACTACTCCTGTCCGTTACGCTGTCTCAAGAGTTAGAGGTGTGTACTGGATCTAAAAGTTCCAGCCCTGCTGATGACCCATGTGTGTATGAATATGATGCTACCTGATAGAATTTCTGTTTTTGAAGTTTGCTTCTTTAAAAACTTAGGAAATTACATCCAAAAGGCTGCATGAAAAGAACGTTAAGGTTGTAAAGTCAAGCACTCACAAAATTAGGAAATGTGAATTTTGACTAGTTATTCAACTATACTGAGTTACACCAAGTGAGGACCTGCCTTCTAGAGAGTGGGTTTTGGTTGTGGTGCTGCGGTTGGACTGAAGTGGGGAAGAGAAGAGGGAGGCATAATCAGGAAGTGAGTAAAGAGAGGGAGATAGAATGGGAAAAGAAGTGGGTGAGGGGAAGGAGAAGGAGGGTAACACACATAATAACCAGGGAGAGTAAGGTTGGGCAGATGGAGGTTTGCATAGTTAAGAGGGGGTGAAATGAAGAGGGTGTCAAGAGCCTATGGTAATTGAGGGGAAAAATAGACCTCTCAAGATTCAGAGTAGAGAGAATTACAAAGTCAGTGAACTGTGAAGCCTCTTCTGGGAGGGTAGGCTTAGAATTTGCTGGCTGTAAGGCCCTGATTTGCTGTCTCTGCCTTCAGTTGCTGCTCTTGGGAGGGGGCCTGAGGGTCTTGATATGTCCATATTCTACCCCATGAACTTGTTATGCCTGTTCATGTGGTTCCCAGTTGAACCGGATGAGAAGGCTGCCAGGCTGGTGATTTCTTTCTAATGCTGTAGAGGCGCATGCATAGCAGGTCTCCTTACATTGTTTGTGAATGTGTAATGGAAGTTGCTGCTATAATGTGTATGTGCACTCTCCAACTTCTGTTTGATTGAAATCTGAGAGTCAGATCCTTGGCTGGTGTGAATTGGTGTGACTTCAACAGAGCTACTCAGATTTTCACCACCTTGAGGATCAGGCCCCCAGTTTTAATGTTGTATTCATATGGGGTTTTTTGCATATACTATTCAAATGTAACTATTATGAACATTATAAACAGATCTTTCTGTAATTTTCAGAGGGAAGAGTGAACACTGCACCCTCTGACTACTGTAATTAACTTACTTGTCACCTATTTATTGAGAAAGATAGGACAAG